CCGGATTATTTAGCCTAGTCCGCTCGATTTTGTTTTCTCTTCTTTCGCTGACTTGGCCCTTCCGCTCTTGTCAGTATTTTAAAAAATTACTCATCAATTTTTTCACTCACTGTACTCCGTCCCATATAACTGTACTTGCCGGACGAGAAATTATCCAAAGCAACGTTCATTCGTCGCCTTTTCTTCTGAATATAGCTCAGGCGATTTAGCAACTGTAGAACGAATATTTGGTACCTACTCACATCAACTGATTCCTTCGTTCTCTGGCTTTCTATCTGTACGCAGAATGACGCTCGCCCATTTTGCAACGGACAATGCGCACGCTCATAATGAAATCAACGATATTTACGCTGCCACTCATATGCAAGGAATATCTTGCTCTCTCCCTCGATTAACGGACAATTATTTAGTGGGACCTTCATTAAATTTGGCGATGACCGTGATCTGCTCATGATTGTTTCTTGTCCGAAAGGGACTAGGCCTCTCGATTTTATGTCATCCACGGCTAAGCATAGACCGCCACGACATCGACAAATGGACAACCTGGACCACTGCATCTAGAAAAAATGTTAAACGGTTAGAAAAATGATTCTTATGGCACTAGGAATGAGACGTGTTCCCACATTTTTAACTGTTTTATTACCATGCCTCATTCCAACCCCTCGGCAAACCTCACGCGTAAAGGCTATTTCTCCGGCTCGTTTTTATATTCACGATCGCTATTTTTCGGATCCAACAGTTGTCCCTGTTGCAAAACACATTTACAAATTTAGCTCACCTTACACTTATTTCACCCATTATGCGGTGTCAGCTTGTATAGTCAAAATTTTATCTTCCCGCAACAATTATCGTAAAGAATGTGGCTTTCGTGTAAACTTTTAATGAAACTTCAAATGACGTTTACGAAAGCTTCGTTGTGAGCAGTTCTGATGCCATGTATCATGCAGACTCACTCGAGGGTAAGGCCCCACCTCAAGCTCGTACACACAGGCTGCCTACATACTAAAGACAGCTGTTGCAGAAAAAATTCCCAAAAGGTTATTCGCAGCCAGCAGTAAAGAAGCATTTTTTCTGTCTATTCGCATTTCGCCGTTAATGTCACCTTTTTAGAGCAGAAACTGTGTTTGTATCTAGAAGTGGATTCACATTTCTAAAGAAAGCCCTTGCGACTTGCCCAGCATACTGCGCTGGACTGGAGTCACGTGACTATTATTATTTGTCTCAGTGCGATCACGCTTAAAGACGGCTTCCGTTTGTAACGCTTCAGTAAAATGCAAACAGGCTAAAACAGTGGAATAGAGGAGAGCATTTTGAGTCGAATTTCCTGGCCTTCCGCAACTGGCACTAATTCGAGCCGTCTATGCACCAACTTCGTGTCACTTGATATTGTACAAAACTAAATTGGAGGTTTCTCTTCCAACTATTTTTGGCCTGAGCCTTTATTTACTCACCAGTCCTACAAGCAATAACATAGTTGCCGAACGGTTAGTAATTGGTTGCAGTGATTGTTGTTCTCCATATAAATCAATAACACATTTTATTTTTAAAGGGAAACAGCAGTTAACAATTCGCGTGCAGCATACGTTGTCAATTTTGAAGGTTTTGCTGTTTCGGACCGCTGATTGTTACGGCTGGCACTCTATGGATTGGTCACTCAAAAGATCTTGTTGCAAAAAATTCTCGAATTCACTGGTACACATATTTAGCACCTTTAATAAATAGGGGTTGACAGGTTCATATGAACTCTCAGAAGGATTTTTGCATGCATTGCAGAGCGTCAGAGAGGACAGTCGAATCACATTCGGTGGGTGGTCGTCCACATTCCAGTAAGTAAAATCGATGGTAGCTCTCAGAGCTAAATTGCGCAGCTTAAAGCTGAAATATCGGCTGCCGTTCCTCGGGCCATTTAGCCTGCTTGGTTGTAATTTCTGATAATTAAAAAAATTGCAATCAGTGAGATCATAAATGGAAGACCTTGCAAGACAGTGATTCTGCTTTTATTTTAACGTCATAGTAAAAATTATACTTTTATCCTTATCTTACCTCTTTTACTACATCAATGTCGGCGTCAGGTATCGGAGCTAAACATGCGTATTGCCAGTATCTGTTTATCCAGTTGTCCAGTATAAATGTGCAGTCGAAAGACAAATGTATCTCAATGATTGTAACTATGAAGTTTAAACGCCATGTTCTATCCTCCAGTATTTTCTCAAAGCCGTGGAAATCGGTTTGTCCAGTCAGATATTCAGCAACGGCATTTAAATTAATGCCATAGATGCTACGCGGGCATTTTGGGACATCTGTAGGCAAAAGAACCACTTAATTTTGCTCATTCATTGGATAACATAAATTAAGTGTTGACACACAAAACTGTCACGTTTTGTTGATGCAGCAAGTGTTGTCCACTCGCAAGCTCGCAGTAACGGACTGCCTAATTGAGTTTATTTAGTAAAACATACAACGTTCATTGAAAACGCCATTCAGGCTTTGGGCCTTCTGCGTAAACCAATGTTCGTCCATCAAAGAATGACATCCAGACGTTGGCCGTTCTTATATCATTTAACATCTACTTGTCTAGCATAGTTAGCTGACTTTGGAGCTGACATTTTTGTATTAGAATTGCAAACTACCTTGTCTGATCGATGTTTAAAAACGTCTACACTCCGACTAGCATTACTTTCGTTAATAATTTTATCAGGGTTTTAAATAAAACAAAGTCCGCCTAATTTATCTGCCAGGAAACGATGTGCCGATATAACAACTTAGGGGTTTTTTGGAAAGTTAGTGAAATATCAGCGACAGCGTCATATAAAAGGAGTAAAATGGTACATACAAAAGCTATATTTGACGGTTAGTGCAATAACAGAAAAATAAATTATCGACACATTTATGTCTCCTATGTTACTTAGATAGCAGTAAACTTAAATAAACTGTTACCGGTTGTTGTGAAGCAGCATTCAATAGAAGGAAGCAGGAGAAAAAGCGCCGCGAATACTTGCATTCTTGCGTGAGTTTGATAAGAACCCTTATTTTATAGGCCATAATAAATTATAAAGCCAACAACACGATTGGACTGTCTGTTCTCTAATCACTAGGTAGACCTTGTCAGGCAATGGCATACACATTGGTGCATGTAGATTGACGTAAACATAAATCGTTTAAGGTACTTTTCGCAAACGACATTGATCGCTGACCTCTTTTATGTCAATAACATAGAGATTATGAAATCAAATTAAATTGTTACACTAACGTGCAGAGTATAATACCCAAGTTAGACGAACTGAAGTTCCACATCTGTGACCTTTCCCCTGACATTGTCTCTTTGACAGAAACCTGGCTGTCTGAAAACATGGATGACCGCGAATTAATGCTACCAGGATTTCAGTTGTTTCTAAGAGACAGGAGAGAGCGTCAGGGAGGAGGAGTCGTCACGTACGTAAAACACGGCCTGCTTGTGTCAGAAAAAACAGAACAGTTTGCCTGCAGCGCCGAGACTATCTGGCTCACCATAAGGGTACCAGGATCACATAGCCTTGAAGTTCTGACCGTCTATCGACCACCGAGTAGTGACCCCGAGGCTGACGCTCGTCTGTTAGAGGAGCTAGGACGATTTGCTCTCCGACCTGACGTCCTAATCATGGGCGACTTCAATGCACCGCTCATTGATTGGAGTTCACTATACGCGCGCGGCCCAGAACTAGCTTTTGACCGACGCTTCTTGGACATGGCACTCAGGTCATTTCTCACACAGCACGTCCTATTTCCCACGAGGGTCCGTGAGGGGCAGCAGTCAAACGGCTTTGACCTAGTGCTCACGAAATAGATGGACAGCATAGATGAAGTGCAATTTTTGCATCCCTTAGGTCGGAGCGATCACGTCGTACTTCAATGGGACTATTCAATCTTTTCCGTGCCTGAACAGCCCATCAAAATTAGAAGAAATATTTATCGTGGGGACTTCGATCAAATGAAGGCCGAAATCAACAATACGGACTGGGAATCAGCGTTTTCCGGAAATATAGAGGAGGATTGGAAATGATTCAGTGAATTATTGCATGCCTTCCTGACAGAACCACTGCCCGCTTTCACGGAAGGGGCTAAACAATCGACCCCGGTGGCTGACCCAGGCGTTAAAAAAAGAAATAAATAAAAAACGGGGTATGTGGCAGAAATCTCTTACTGATAGGACTCCTGTATCCGTAAACGCATACAAAATACAGAGGAATTTAGTCAAGCGGCTGACCCTCAGGACACGGCAAAATCTTGAAAAAGACCTATTGAATCGTGCTATGGAAAATCCAAAATTATTCTACAGCTACATAAGAAACAGCACACGAAACACAGATCCAATCCCCCTCCTGAAGACAAGCGGAGACGTAGAGATTAGTGAGGATGGAGAAAAAGCTGAGCACTTTTCACAATTTTTCAAATCCATCTTTACTAGTGAAAGTCCATTTACTCCCCCCGACTACGACTTTGATGAGGGTCCAAAAATTGAGTCTGTATCTTTTGATGAAGCGACGGTTCGCAAAGAGCTAATGACGCTAAATGAGTCGAAATCACCAGGTCCAGACGACATAGCGCCTAATTTACTGAAGGAGCTCGCTGCCGAACTAGCCAAACCATTGTCCCTGCTTTTCCAAGCCTCGTTCGAAGCCGGCTGCTTGCCCGCCGACTGGAAATCTGCGCGGATCACACTACTGCATAAAGGAGGCAGCAAGGCCTCTGAAAACAATTATAGGCCAATTAGCCTCACTTCCATCTGCTGCAAACTCATGGAGAAAATAATCAAGCGAGAGCTGATGTGCTTCCTAGAGTAGCATAATTTATTATCTGATGCGCAGCATGTGTTTCGTAGTGGCAGGTCTTGCGTGACTAACCTGTTCAACTGTTTGGAACGTTGTACTCGGTCAGTTGACGAAGGCAATGCGCTGCATGTAGTCTATATCGACTTTAAAAAGGCATTTGATAGTGTCCCACATCAGCGACTCCTGTGCAAAATGAGCCGAACAGGCGTTAGGGGTAACCTCTTAAAATGGATTCAAAGTTTCCTATTAGGCCGTTGTCAAACTGTCCATGTCGGTGGCCAGAAGTCGACGAAGGTTGCCGTTGAAAGCGGTGTTCCCCCAGGGTCAGTTCTTGGTCCTACTTTGTTCATCATTTACGTCAACGATTGCGTAAGTGAACAGGATTGTGCTGTCGCCAATTTTGTGGATGACATTAAGCTCTGGAGCGTCATTCGAACTGCAGATGACGAAGAGCATCTGCAGGCGAACCTAAATCGACTCCAACAGTGGTTAAAGGCCTGGCTTCTGCCGTTCAACGAGAAAAAGTGCAATATTCTACGAGTCGGCAGAGCTCGCTCTCCGAACCATATGGCCTACTGCCTAAATGGTATACCACTGCAAGAATTGGACTCGCAGAAGGACTTGGGAGTATGGATTACGACCTCGCTCAAACCCTCGCTGTTCTGCACGAAGATAGCCAAGTCTGCAATGTCAGTCCTCTACCTTGTCAAGCGGACTTTCTCTGCCTTTGACGAAGACTGCTTCGCTAAAGTCTTTCAAGCTTTTGTGCGTCCGCAACTAGAATTTGCTATCCAAGCTTGGAGACCCTGGACCGCGAAGGACCTCAGCATCCTTGAAAGGGTTCAAAGGCGTGCAACGAAACTTGTGGCAGGACAGGGTTCACTACCATATGCAACGCGGTTAGCTAACCTTGATCTCTTTCCCTTGAGTTACAGGCAGTTACGGGGTGACCTGATACAAGCCTTCCGTATCATACGCGGTCAGGACTGCTGCCTCGTACCGGGTGAATTCTTCGAGTTAGCAACCACCACAAATCTACGAGGCCATCCATCCAAACTACGTGTGACAGCGGCCAGACTGGACACACGAAAGTTCTTCTTCTCCAACAGAGTGCTAGAAGCCTGGAATGCCCTGCCGGTGGATGTCGTTATGTCTGCTTCCGTCGAGGTATTTAAGAGTAAGCTGGATTTGTGTAGCAGTGTGCACTAAATTACCACCCCGATATCTGTAACCTCGACAATTTACGTTATTATATAACTACTTGCTATATTTCAGTAACATTTTAAATTGAATTTATTATTGTACCAACCCATCGCCTACGCTTACTGACATGCACATATGCAAATTTTGTCCCCGGATAAATTATTTATTTCGCTGCACTCGAAACGACAGCTCTACAACTGCTCGTACCACTAAAATTCGAGACAGTTTGTTCGTCTGTACAGACCTGACGCTTTTGCGATTATTTGTTCCTTTATGATACCTTTTCGAGTTTTTGAGATTTTGCAGTTGCTTGTAAACAAATAGGGAGTTCAAAGGTGAAGACCTACATTTCCCTCAATAAACTGAACTGAACTGAACTGAATTTGCTGGAAACGCTTTACCCTCGTATCTGTTATATTATCTCGAGATCTCTAAATTACTACACGGGTAGTAAGCTTCATCTTTAATCCAAACAAGACTTTTAACCCAATCCTTTCGAGTTGTTAACTGGAAATGGACCTCCTCAAAGGAATGCGAGTTTATAATATTAAAATGCAAATAATGAGTGAAGGGAGAAGCAAATAACAGGCCTTGTTTTGGCAATCAAACTAGCGCATTAAAAAAAGTAAGTGATGCGTAATTCTCGTCGACGTCGCAAACGCATATTAAAACAATCAAGACAGGGCCGAGAAGTACACTTAGCATCGTTGTTAGTAACATTGATTTAAAACCTAATTCGTTTTCATCAACAGATCGGATGTTACAGTTTTGTGCTGTGATATTTCATCCTGAGGAGAATATGCACAAATATAGGTTTACTGTATAAACGTATTAGAAGAAGAAAATTGTCTCTCCGGACAGGTTAATTTAACTGCTGACGTTTCAAAGAGCTGGGTCAGCTCTTCATTGTCAAAGCGTAAACTGCACCTAATCGATCAGGAATTTAGTTTAAAGTGGCAAGTTGTGTTGGTCGGCCTCATGCTGATCGATTTTTTTCCTCTCCTCCC